GTGTGCTTTTCAACGGTATAGCACCTGTAGAACATACAAAACAACTCGTGGTCACCACAAAACTCTTCAACATGTACAAATAAACTATAAGGCAGGGCTGTTCAACTACATTACTTGGGGGGGGTGGGGGGGGGCACAATTAATGAAAGCCTAGAGCTCAGGAGCCAGACATCCATCAGTTATTCTAATTAAGTAAGTTTGTTTTATGGTTTTAAATCTAGTTTAATTTAAAAACGAACCCACTGGTGGGCCCAACTGAGCTCACCCGTGGGCCTGATTTGGCCCCCCGACCACCATTTGAATAGCCCTGCTATAAAAGGTGTTTGACAGGGGGTGGGCTTGTACTTTAAATACATCGTGACATGAACAGCTCTGAATTAAAAAAAATATATAAAAATCAGATATTATTTTGCGATGACTCTGAGGTGCTGCGCATTAGGAGGCTAACCGAGAATCACTGCTCCTGCCACAGCGGAGGTCAGCGTTCAGAAAGGGTTTCTACTTATGGAAAGTGTAGGTAAAAAATTTAAAAAAGGCGTTATGTGTACGGTAAGATGTGTATACAGGTCCTTCTCAAAAAATTAGCATATTGTGATAAAGGTCATTATTTTCCATAATGTAATGATAAAAATGAAACTTTTATATATTTCAGATTCATTGCACACCAACTGAAATATTTCAGGTCTTTAATTGTTTTAATACTGATGATTATGGCATACAGCTCATGAAAACCCAAAATGCCTGTCCCAAAAAATGAGCATATTTCATCCCACCAATGAAAGACAAGTGTTTTTAATACAAAAACCGCCAACCTTCAAATAATCATGTTCAGTTATGCACTCAATACTTGGTCAGGAATCCTTTTGCATGAATGACTGTTTCAATGTGGCGTGGCATGGAGGCAATCAGCCTGTGGCACTGCTGAGGTGTTATGGAGGCCCAGGATGCTTCGATAGCGGCCTTAAGCTCATCCAGAGTGTTGGGTCTTGCGTCTCTCAACTTTCTCTTCACAATATCCCACAGGTTCTCTATGGGGTTCAGGTCAGGAGAGTTGGCAGGCCAATTGAGCACAGTAATACCATGGTCAGTAAACCATTTACCAGTGGTCGTGCTGAAAAATGAAATCTTCATCTCCATAAAGCTTTTCAGCAGATGGAAGCATGAAGTGCTCTAAAATCTCCTGATAGCTAGCTGCATTGACCCTGCCCTTGATAAAACAGTGGACCAACACCAGCAGCTGACATGACACCCCAGACCATCACTGACTGTGGGTGCTTCACACTGGACTTCTGGCATCTTGGCATTTCCTTCTCCCCAGTTTTCCTCCAGACTCTGGCACCTTGATTTCCGAATGACTTGCAAAATTTGCTTTCATCCGAAAAAAGTACTTTGGACCACTGAGCAACAGTCCAGTGCTGCTTCTCTGTAGCCCAGGTCAGGCGCTTCTGCCGCTGTTTCTGGTTCAAAAGTGGCTTGACCTGGGGAATGTGGCACCTGTAGCCCATTTTCTGCACACGCCTGTGCACGGTGGCTCTGGATGTTTCTACTCCAGACTCAGTCCACTGCTTCCGCAGGTCCCCCAAGGTCTGGAATCGGCCCTTCACCACAATCCTCCTCAGGGTCCGGTCACCTCTTCTCGTTGTGCAGCGTTTTCTGCCACACTTTTCCCTTCCCACAGACTTCCCACTGAGGTGCCTTGATACAGCACTCTGGGAACAGCCTATTCGTTCAGCAATTTCTTTCTGTGTCTTACCCTCTTGCTTGAGGGTGTCAATGATGGCCTTCTGGACAGCAGTCAGGTCGGCAGTCTTACCCATGATTGTGGTTTTGAGTAATGAACAAGGCTGGGAGTTTTTAAAAGCCTCAGGAATCTTTTGCAGGTGTTTAGAGTTACGTTGTTGATTCAGATGGTTAATAGCTTGTTTAGAAAACCTGTTCATGATATGCTAATTTTTTGGGACAGGCATTTTGGTTTTCATGAGCTGTATGCCATAATCATCAGTATTAAAACAATTAAAGACCTGAAATATTTCAGTTGGTGTGCAATGAATCTGAAATATATGAAAGTTTCATTTTTATCATTACATTATGGAAAATAATGACCTTTATCACAATACGCTAATTTTTTGAGAAGGACCTGTACGTTTTCATGAAATGGGAAGAAGAAATGTTTGCCAGTGGAAGCAACCAGCTGCCGCTGGATGATCCATCCTGTGGTTCATCAAGAAACTCGGGGGGCCACAGTTACTGAAAGCCAAGAGGTCAGGGGCCGGACATCCAGCAATTGTCATTAAATAAGTTTGTTTTACGGTTAAAATCTACTTTCATTCAAATATGAACCCATTGGTGGGCCTGACTGAGCACAGCCATGGGCCTGATTTAGCCCCTGGGCCACCAGTTGAATAGTCCTGGACTACTGTAGCTCGTGATTCAGAGACCTCGATCGCTGTAGAACATCACAGCCTTCATCTTTTTAACTCAGTTTTGTGGATTTAACTCTTATAATCTTGTCTGAATAAAAACTGTAGTATTCTGCAGCATGGAGCAAAAAGTAAAAAGTAGTTTCTTTAATGTATGAGGGATTTTGTTTTTTGTTTAGAAGGGTGATTACGGCTGCAATAATGGGCTTTATGATGGCATCATTAGGTGCCTGAAGACTCCGATCACTAAAAAAAAAGAGCTAAAAGATAAATAAATTATTAAATAAAGTCGCCCTGTGAACTCTGTGAGGGTGAAAATGTACAACTTGCTCACGCTTGATGTAAACACACAAACAGCACAAAGTGGCTTCAAATAGACACCGGCGAGTAAAAAATAAATAAATAAATAAAAAAAACCCTGCAAGCTGCTGTTGGCTGAAAACACATTTTTAAGCTTTACTGATGCCAAAAGAGTTTATTATCTTACATTCGTCAGTCTCTCTCTTGTCGTTTGCTGCAACAGAGATGAAGAGAAAGGTGAAAATCAACAAAACCTGGTGCAAAATATGATCAGCTGTTCAGAGAAGACTTGGAAACTTACCAGGTGCCGATGTACCATTCGAATGATCTGATTCAGAAATAATGACATTAAAATAAGTTTTATTGTTCTGGTCTATTTGTGAGAACACAGATTGTGGCAGAGCAGATAAAAAAAATAAAAATAATTATTGAATAGAAATACAGTTTATTGTTCCCCTGAGGGAAATTAGTTTGTCACAGCAGCCGACGAGCTCAAACTCAAGAACAAGAATAAAAATAAAAACAAACACTGAGAGCAGATAAGGACAGTGGAGACACATTTGATTTATTTGACAGTAGTTTTGTGCAGCTTTAAATTTAACAGTGTTCACCTGTCAGAGAGGAGCTGTTATAAAGTGAAATTGCAAATGGCCAAGCATTTCTGATCTCTTTTGAAAAAA